GGTCCCTGTGCTTTGCTAAGCTTGTTCTAAGTAGGTGCTTTAGACCACTGAGCCATCTCACCAGCCCCAATAGCATAACAATTTAAAGGAAGAATGTTTTTTTTTTTTTTTTTTTTTTTTTTTTTTTTTTTTTTTTTGGGAGGTGGTGTTAGTTTAGAAGCAGTTTTAGACATTCTTTTACTCATGTTCATTATTTGTTTTTTGTTTTTTGGGGTTTTAAAAAAAAATCAGTTAGTTGTTGACTGTTAATGTCCTTCAGGACCTTTAGGGTTCTGGAACTTTTGGCTATTTGAGGAACTGTGTGTTTAACTAATTGATCACAAATGCTACCACACAAGAAGGTAGTAAGAACCAAGGAGTTGTAGAGTCAGTTGGAATGTGTATTGTTGGAGGTAACAGAATAGAGAAGTGGAGATGGGACTGTGGAGGTGTGGCCATAGTGACTGCAGTAGAGGACAGTGAACAGGTGCTTTGTTTATTTGTTTGTTTTAGATAGTATAGAGTGGCCTTGAACTTGCAGCAGTCCTCCTTTCTCAGCCTTCCAGATGCTGGGATTTCAGACATGTGTGTCCACGCCCGGTAGTAGTTGGCGGTTCAGTGCAGGTTATGGAGGCCAAGAGCCAGGAATGAGTCTCAGTTACTATAATAATTATATTAATAATCAGAGTTCTAGAGTGGCACATACTTCCCTCCATAGTCTGCTTTTTGAATTTAATTTAAATGAGTAACAAGGGGATATCTTTAGTCATTTTTCTTTTTTTTTGAACTATATCATTTTTATTTTTTTTCAAAACATCTTTAGTCTTTGAGATACTTGCTACGAACAACAATACAGCTTTGTTTGTGATTTCTATGAGGGGGTTCTGGCTCAGAATTTGACAATGAGTAGTGTCCTTTTTTATTTCATTTCAACTGAGGGCTTTGATTTGTTACTAGCTGGTTTCATAAAACTTAATATCAGCTTAAAGTGAGATAGTCTGCCATTTAGTCTGCAAATAGGGAAAGGAATAAAGGAAGATTTTAGTGGAAACCAGTAATATAAAAATAGCTTGCAAGGTATTTAAAAATAATGGTGTATTTGTTTCTTTATAAGATGTATAGATTAGAAGTCAGTGTATTGACTATCGTAATGAGCATACTGAAGGTTCTGAAATGATTGTAACAATCATAAAATAATGTGGAAATATTCTTGATTTTCAGTTGTGATAAGGCCATAGGTGTATTGGTAATGCTACTGTGGGATTTCTTGGGGGGGGTGTTATAATTACAGTTGAAGAGCATTCCACATTTCAGGTAAATAGACGTTCATGCAAATATATAGTACATGTTGGGTTAAGAGCCTCTAATTTGGGTCATTTTTGTCAGCTTGAAGTACTCATTGATGTCTGTAGTCTTGTCCCTTTTTCTCATCTTTTCCATTTGCATTTTTCAATTAGGAAAATAGCCATGAATATTTCGTGCATAATGTATCTCTATCTTTGTGTGTCCCCCCACTCCCCTTTCCTGTCTTTAATTGTTCAGGCTGGACTTATACTTATTGTGTACCCCAGTCTGTCTTTGAACTTATAGCAGTCTTCCTGTCTCAGCCTCCTGAGTGCTGGTATTACAGATGGAAAGACCACCAACACACAGCTTGTTTTCATGGTTTCTGCTTGAGAAGTATTTTTTATTTTTATATAAAATGTTTATTTGCCAAATATATTTTAGAAAATTATTAGGTTTTATTATAATGTAACCATGTGGCAAAATCCAAACCAGGATTATTTTAGCTATTGTTGATATACTTTATTTAGAATTTATTTAATACAAAATAGCCTAATATAGCATATTTTATAAAGTTGCATATTGTAGTACTAAAATACTATATATGAGCTTTAAACAAGGAAGGAATATTTTTTCCCAAATTGGTGTCTGAACCTAGAGAACACTAAGCCCTAACTCTGTATTTTATTTTAAAGATAGGTTCTCCCTAAGTTCCAGCCCTCAGATTCCCAAGTAGCTAGGGTTGCAGATGTGTGCTACTACCTCTGGCCAAAGAAGCAATATTCTGAACTCATTTTATATAACCACAGTCAGGAGAGAAAATTGATATACCGTACTCTTCCCCTGCTTTTTTTTTTTTTTTTTTTTTTTTTTTTTTTTGAGACATGGTCTCACTGTGTAGTTCCGACTGACCTTAAACTTCATGTGTAGCCCAGACTGCCCCTAATAGTCCAGGCTGCCCTTAACTTGTAGCAGTTATCCTGTCTCAGCCTCCCAAGTACTAGCATTACACGTGTAATTAAGGTGTCACCATGGCAGGTGACAGACACACTGCTTTTAAAATTGTGTTCATTGTTAAAGGTCATTCTCATGAGGCCCAGTGTGCATAGTTCTAATGTATGTATTAACTATTATCACTGTTCTCTGTAATTTTACACGATTATTCTATCCATGTCATGTGTATGGTCACCAACAAAAAACATAACTTTGATAAGTAATTCAGTCAATTGAAGCTTACTTTTATTGGTATTTGATTTTGCTCAGATATT